AGGCAGGCAGGCAAAGCTTGGGAGGGAGAGGCAAGGAAGCACGGAGGGAGACAGGCATGGAGGGAGGCAGGCAGAGCGTGGGAGGGAGGGAGGCAGGCAGGCAGGCAGGCAGGCAGGCAGGCAGGTAGGCAGGTAGGCAGAGGCTGGGAGGGAGCCAGGGAAGGAGAGGATGGAGATGGATTGATGGAAGGATGGATGGAGGGAGGGATGGAAGGATGGATGATTTGAGGGAGGGATGGAGGTTGAGTTGAGCAGAGTGTGTGTGTGTATGGGCTGTAGGGGTGGTGGGGGGGGGGGGAGGTGTGTCGGTGGTTGTGAAGGGACCCACTCACTAACCCTAACTCATTGACCCAGTTAACTTTTTTTTTTAACTTGATTTGTTTCTTAAATTCTGGATGAATGGAGGGAGAAAAGGGATGGATGGAGAGAGGGAGGGAGGGAGGGAGGAAAGGGGAGAGAGAGGGAGGGGGGGATGGAGAGAGAGAGGGAGGGATGGATGGGGAGGGAGGGAGGGATGGAGAGTGAGGGAGAGAGGGAGGGAGGGTTGGAGAGAGCGAGGGAGGGCTGGAGAGAGCGAGGGAGGGATGGAGAGAGCGAGGTAGGGAGAGATTTGAGAGAGCGAGGGAGGGCTGGAGAGGGAGGGAGGGAGGGAGGGATGGATAGAGGGATGGAGAGACGGGGGGAGGGAGGGATGGAGAGAGGGAGGGATGGAGAGAGGGAGGGATGGAGAGAGGGAAGGAGGGAGGGAGGGATGAAACAAGCATGGTGCTGTGTGTACAGGGATTAGACCCGTCCACTCACGCTGGAGTTGTTCCAATAACATACAGTAATTTCTCAAATAGCAGATGTCTATCATATTACAGTATGTTTTCGGTTTTATTTAGTTTAGTTTAATTAGGATAGTAAAAAGCTATTAAAACACTGGTTTTAGAAATTATTTATTAATATGAAACTTTCAATAGTCATGGGTCACTGAACTATGACGACACACAGACGAAAGTGAGTGAAACCTCACTGTAAAGTGAGGTTTACAGTATAGTATTCTCTTATCTGTCCACCCTCACTCATCTTGTTTCATCACAGGAAATGTCTATAAGAAGATTTTACCACAGGTAGCTAGGTAATCACGCGTCATCCTTTAAATTAATGTTCAAAGATACGTGTGCCCCAAATCAGTGAACGAAAATCATGGAAACTCAGTTGTTCACTTGTGTGGATCACTCTGGCTGGTGTTTGGTTGGACCATTCTGGCTGGTGTTTGGTTCATATGGTTCACTTGTGTGATCCAGCTTGTCTTATGAAGGAATTATTAATTGTAATCTGTGATAGAATGAGAAAGTTTTCCACCACTCTGAACTCTGTCCCAAAATCGTAAGCTTGTGGACCACTTGTGGTCCACTTGTGTGGTCCAACTTGTCATATGAGAGAATTATTAACACTTTCGCCCGGGCATGACGCAGCATTGCGTCATCCGTTTACTGTCGGTAATGCCGGGGATGACGCAGCATTGCGTCATCCACTTTAAATAATCGCCAAAAATCAGGTTTTTATCCGATTTTTTTTTTAATGGTTTTAAAATGCGCGCCGATGTCTTCCCATTTTCTTTGTTGAGCCTCGTGGCCCTCAGGCGGCTTGGCACACACCGTGGGCCCATTGTTTTCGCTCCACTGTTGTGACCAATGTCGCCTCCCCCTCGCATCTCAAACGTGTGAACATTTCGGCTATTTTCCTTGGCTATATTTCTTACTGCGGCTTTAGAAACTATCTACGCTTACTCCACGATGGATAGTGATCATGAACAAGGCCCTTCCAGGAAGAAAATTGCGAAAGAAAGGCTTGAAAAGGGCGGGAATTGGGAGTGTAGCTGGAAGGCGTCTGAGCGCTCACTTTTGGCTAACGCGTGGCCCGTCTTCAACTCGTCGGTGGTTGGAGCGTGACCAGGTTTTTTTATTTTATATGCTAATGTTCCTCTAGAGAATTCTATTGCGAACCCATTGAGACCAAAATGAAAGACCTAGGACAAAAATTGAGGTGACCAGAGTGAAAATAGTGAAAACATTTTATCGCGTTTGCGCGCTCCTGGGCATAACTCGTTCGCACTTTCTCTGTTTGCTGCGGGTAATTAGCCGGGCTTTTGGAGTTTATATGCATTTAGTGCTGTAGAGAATTCTATTGCGAACACAATGATACAAAATTTAATCTCGTAGGACGAGAATTAAGGTGACAAAGTTGAAGAGAGTATACACTTTTCAGAATTTACGCGCGCTCCTGTGACACCCTGGGACCCATATCACACAGTTGAGGGGTGGCGCACGGGGTACGCCAAAGTGTTAATTGTAATCTGTGATAGAATGGGAAAGTTTTCCACCAGCCTGTGAACTCTGTCTGGACATCGTAAGCAAATCCGAACATCCCCGCTTCGGCCAACCATTGTTCGTCGAACCGGGTGAGTAAATCCGGCCTGAAAAGTGTGCGAACTAGCCAGAGATTCGTTGAATCGGGGTACGTTGAATCAAGGTTGTACTGTACGTTTTTGGTCAAAATTTTAAAATATTTGTTAAAATTCTATTTATTGTGCTATTATTTTGGGACTAGTTTTAAAATGGGCACCTGTAGATTGTGAACAATTTGATACCAAAATGAAAGATGTAACACGAAAATTTGTCAGAACACTGGAAAGATATAAATAATTTTGTGATGATTAGCGACCAAAATTAAAATATTTGTTAAAATTCCAGTTATTGCTCTATTATTATTGGACTAGTTTTAAAATACTTGCCTTTATATTGCAAACAATTTTATACCAAAACGAGCGATGTAACACGAAAATTGATGTTATCAAACTGAACTAGTATACACATTAGGTTGTGGTGTGCAAATTGGTGCTCGTTCAAGGATAAATTTAGGGTTTACTGCAGGTAGTGTCGCCAGGCTTTTGGACATTATATGCATATACACCTATAGGGAATTTAATTGCAAACACAATGATACCAAAACGAACGATGTAGCATAAGAATTAATATGAGAAAACGAGTATACACATTTTAGTGATTTTGCGCGCTCACCGGTAACTTTTGCCGACTTTAGGCTTTGCTGTTGGGAGTCACACCAGGCTTTTGGACATTTTATGCATATACACCTGTAGGGAATTCTATTGTGAACACAATGATACCAAAACTAACGACATAGCACGAGAATTAAGGTAAGAAAACTGAAACGAGTATGCACATTGGGTGTCGCCACTCACTTACCCACACGCCGGGTGCGTGACCTCTAAGTTGGAGGCGCGCATGCCGTAGGTTCGAAAGTGTTAACCTCAACATGACAGTTCATCATCTGACTCAGATTTTGAGAGTCAGATTATTCCTTATAGTGCTGCTGCTAGGAGAAACCCTTGTATTGTTGATAAACCAGAACATCTGATCAGCAAATTGAACCATTAGGTATTTCGCATCCAGAAGGACACCAAATATAAGTACAAGTCGTGTGATGTGGCACCTTGCTCCGGCTTGTATCATCGCAAGAAGAAATACTGGGTGGATAAGCAATAATGCTTATCCACCATCCACTTCACCTATAAAACATCGGTAGAGCAACTTCAGGAAACAGTTTCCTGGAGCAGGTGGAGTGGTTCAGCCTAATTCTTAACTCATGGTCTACAAACATCATTGGGTGGTAAGTACACCCTTTTTCCTTGTAGAAAATTCTATTGTGAATAAATTGATACCAAAATGAATGGACTAACAAGAAAATTAACATTATCAAACTACGAGGATTATACACATTTGTGTGCAGGTGTAGCGGGTGTGCACATGCGTGCTTGCTCACAGCTAACGCTTGGCTAACTTTCACCTTTACTGGGGGGAGAGGGGACGAGCACTTGGATTTTGGACTTTATTCGCATATTCCCCTATAGTGAATTCTTTTGTGAACAAATTGATACTGTATTGAATGACGTAGGACAAGAATTGAGGTGAGAATCACACAAAGAGTAGACACATTTTGGTGGTATTGCGCGCTCACAAGTAACCCTTGACCGATTTGTGAGTTTGGTGTGGGTGGCATGCCAGATTTTTGGACTTCATATGTATATATCCCTGTAGGAAATTCTATTGCGAACAAAAAGATACCAAAATTAATGCAGTAAGACGAAAATTGAGATGAGAAAACTTAAAAGAGTATACATATTTGAGTATGGCCACACGCTCACAGCCAACCTCAGCACATCTTGAGGTAGTTTAGGGAGCGTGCGGTGGGAACGGAAAAGTGTCAGAGTCCCCGTGGCCCGGTCCTCGACCAGGCAGAGGCAAAGTTCGAGCCCAATGCTTGGGAAAGAAAAGCATCCTCCCAAACAGAATGCATGGAAGAAGCATGCTGGTGTGAATAGGAAAACTTCAAAACCATGGCAGAATCTTGAGGGCTCAACTGCCTTGACACACTATGCCAAAACTAGAAGTTAGAAGAAAAAGAGGTGATATGATCACCACTTACAAAATACTAACAGGAATTGACGAAATGGACAAAGAGGAATTCCTGAAACCAGCAAATTCATGAACAAGAGGACACAGGTTCAAGCTAAGGAAACAAATGTGCCAAAAAAACATTAGAAGGTTTTCTTTTGCAAACAGAGTGGTAAACGGTTGGAACAAGCTAAGTGACAAGGTGGAAGAGGCCAAAACCCTCAGTAGTTTCAAAACGTTATACGACAAAGAATACTGTGAAGACAGGACACCACGAGCGTAGCTCTCATCCTGTAACTACATTTAGGTAATTACTCTTGAAGGAAGGACCAACCCCCGAATTTGCCAAGCTACACCCCAAGCTAAAACCTCCCCTGACTCTTAAATCCAATAATGTAAGAGAGAGAGAGATGTATACAGGAGGGCAATATAAAGAAAATTTCATATTGTGAGATTTGCCTGACATTAGAAATTTGGGAATACCTTGCTTGATTGGTTGCAATAAGGTATCAAGTTACTACTTTATATTTTTCTTTTCAGATGATGGGTTCTTGTACTGGATGCCCTTCATCTGTCGTTACCCTTAAGAATGGTGTTCAGAATATGCTCCAGTTTTACATCCCAGAGGTGAGTACAATACTTATGTGCATTCTGTTTTTGTTTTTCAGAGGGGAGCCCCTTCGGCTCCCCGGAGCTTGCTAGGCTGATGTGCTAAAATCAGACTTTGGCATCAGTCATGTGTATGGAGTTCTCTGGGCCTACTGGGGACCACGAGCCAGAACCTGGTCCTATCAGAAGAGGCAAGGGGAGCAATGACCTATAGAAACCCCCATGTGGTTGGAAGCATTCTGTCTGCCATCGACTGGGTCAGGCACCCCAGAAAGATAAGCATCCCAAAACAAACCCCTATTCTGGTGAAAATGTTGCTACCAAAAGCCGAACAAGTGGAGAACTTCCCTAAAAGAAACAACCAAACAATCATGATGTCACACGTCACCGTGCCGCTGTCTGTGCAGCTCCCCCTCCCTGGAAGGGGGAAGGGGGGTCCCCAGACCCCTCACGCTGCCTATCCACCCTTTAGTTCTTAGGCTGATGCTAGAAGCTACGGTCGTGTGCTCTGGCTCCAGACATAGTTTCAGCACTGTGCTTTGAGTGTGGTGGCTGTCTTCTAGGGGTGTGAGAGTCAGGAGTTATTCTCCAGTACTCAGGATGCATGCACCTAGGGTTTCCCTTCCCTAGGTGCCCTGTAAGTACTGCTCTTGGGGCTTGGGGTTACCTTCCACAAGTTCTTGGGTCCTGTCTCTGCTGGCCGTTTTACTGCTCGTTTTTTTGGCCGTCCTTTGGGTACTTGGGTGTTCTGTCTCCCTTGTACTGTATACCTTAGGGTAAGAGGTAGTTTGCACTGGTTCGGGGACCGGGGTGCTACGTAGCTTGTTTTCACCGATTATAGCAGCCGGCTCTGTTCCTCTAGGGTACGCTGTCCTCTTGCGGGGTTTTCTTTTTCTTTTTTGCCTTGTGGGGGAATCTGCCCTGCTTTTTGCCCACTTGTGCTTGACCTATTATGGTTCTTCTCTAGTGGTGCCCCCTGCTAGGTCCCCGTGAATGTACACGTCCCTGGAGTGCAGCTTTAGTGAGTTTGCTTGGTAGATTTGGGTGCCGGTTAGCAGTACCCTGCCTGGGGTTACCTGGGCGTGCCTCGTTAAGTGCTCAGGGCCCTGGGAAACCCCTGGAGGCACGTAGATCTGATGGATGTGACCCCAAAGTCCCCCCTCGCTTCGTGCAAGTTTGAGGGTTATTCGGTCCCCTTCTCTCAGGGTGACCTTCACTGTTTCTGGGGGGAGCCCCTACAGCTCCCCGGAGCTATCCATGGCTGATATGGATATCCTAACTATTTTGCATCAGTCGATGTGGGTGGAGTTCTAGGCCTACTGGAGACCACGAGCCAGAACCTGGCCCCCCTCACAAAGGCACGGGGAGCAATGGCCCATAGAAAGGCACATGTGTTTTGGAGCATTCTATATCTGCCATCAACCAGGACAGGCACCCAGAAAGGTAAGCGCCACAAAACAAACCCCTATTCTGGTTAACAACGAAAATCGACAAACGAGTGGACAGAACTCCCCAAGAAAAACAAACAAACAAGCATGACATCACACGAGCCGCGCCGCATGTCTGCGCAGTGCCACACCTCCCTCGGAGGGGGGAGGGGGAAGGGGGAAGGGGGAGCTCCAGACCCCCGAGCCGGCGATCCCTGGCCCAGTTCCTTGGCTGATGGGATAGTGCACGGTCGTGTGGCTTCAGCTCCAGTCTTGTCTCAGTGCTGTGACTTGTTTTCAGTGCTGCTCTTACGGTGGTCGTGTGAGCTGGGAGTAGTATTCTAAGGTACTCGGGCTGCATGTGCTTAGGGTCACCTTCCCTGAGTGCCCTGTAAGTACTGCCCTTGGGGCTTGGGGTTGCCTTCCACAAGTCACCTTGGGTCTACCTCTGTTGGCTTTTCGCTGCTTGGCGTTTGGCTGCTTGGCGTTTGGCCGCCCCGAGTGTTTGTGGTTTTCCTCCCTTGTTTACGTTGGGGTAAGTGGTAGTTATTGCACTGGTGGGGCGCAGGGTACTGCGTAGCTAGTTTTCACCTATGACAGCGGCCGGCTCTTTTCCCTCTGGGTACGTTGTCCACTTGTGTGGTTTTTCTTTTCTTTTTGTTTTTGCCTGGTGGGGGGGTTTGCCTTGTGTTTTTCCTTCCCCTTATATTAGGGTTGTTTATGTGGTGGCACCCCCTGCTTCGCCCTCGCGAGTGGACACGTCCCGTGGGTTCAGCTTTTAACAATTTGCTTGGTAGTTTGGGATGCCGGTTAGCAGTGCCCTGCCTGGGATAACCCTTAGCAGACCCAGTCTAGGGGCTCTAGGAAACCCCGTGGGGGCTCTCGGGTCCGATGGAAGAGACCCTTGCGTCCCCTCTCACTGTGTGCGAGTTTGAGGGTTGCTCTGTCCTTTTGTCTCAGGGTGATTCTCATTGTTTTTGCCTCCGTCATGCTGTCTGTTGGGTCGATGACACATTCGACCCTGAGTCCTGCGAGTTGTGTTGCTTGTTCGTGACTCAATTCACGCAGTCTGCTGATGGCTTACTTCAGGTGCAGGCAGCTCGTGCATTGTAATGTAGGTTTAGGTTGTTGCAACGCGCTCGGGTTGTCGCTTCCCCAGACGCCCCGAGGCTGCCCCGCTTTGTGTACAGTATCCACTCAATTTAACGGCTTATATGACGTGAGCAGAGAACACGTCTCGCAAGACTCCGGGTCAAAAGTATCATTAATGCTGCGTGTTGGTCACCAACACCTTTGACCCAGAGTCTGGCGAATCGTGTTCTTTGCTTGTTCTCCAATTTACCCATTCTGATGACATTGATATTCAGGTACAGGTGGCATCCGCGTTGCATGCTAGGTTTAGGCTGGTGCAGCGAGCTAGGTTGGTTGCCCACCTGGATGTCCCAAGGTTGCCCCATTTTGGTTGTAGGGATCCAGGCTTGGGGGTGTTAGTCGCTTCGACATTGGTTCCGTCCGTGCTCCCTTATTCTTCCCTCTGTTGTTCTTTCTACTCTTCCCTCCCATCCCCCTGCTCTGAGCTCCCAGACATCTGAGGGTTTCAGAGTTGGAGCGGGGTTTAGTTGGTAATGAAACTTGGGCTGCTTCAGGGGCTACCCCATCCAGATTGGGGATGAAGGCATTCGAGCCTGCTCCTCCTGCCAAGGCTTCTGGGTTTTCCTGGTAGACCCCCTTCTTTGCTGCCTTTTCTTCAGGGGTGGAGGACAGCTCTGCCCTGGGGCCTTCTCGTTTCTGGGACTGTTTGCCCCTGCTTGGGCTTTGTGATTTTTGGGCAGTTTTTTTCTAGGGGTAGCCCCGTTGGCTTCCCAGAGCTATCCAGGCTAATATGGATATATTAGCTTTCTGGCATCAATGTGCATGGAGTTCTTGCCTACCAGGGACTACGAGCTAGAACCTGGCCCCCCCTCAGAGAGGCACGAAGAGCAATGGCCTATAGAAATCCCTGTGTGGATTTCTACACCTGGCCCCCGGGGCATAGGGTGTAAGAAACTCTGCCCCATTGTTTCTCGCCGGCGCCTGGGATCGAACCCAGGACCACAGGATCACAAGTCCAGCGTGCTGTCCGCTTGGCCGACCGGCTCCCAGAGAGGAGCCGGTCGCTGGCAGAGAGGGAGGGAGGGAGGGAGGCTGGCAGGCAGGCTGGCAGAGAGGGAGGCTGGCAGGCAGTCTGGCACAGAGGAAGGGAGGGTAGCAGGCAGGATGGCAGAGAGGGAGGGAGGGAGGCTGGCAGGCAGGCAGGCAGGCTGGCAGAGAGGGAGGGAGGGTAGCAGGCAGGCTGGCAGAGAGGGAGGGAGGGAGGAGGGAGGGTAGCAGGCAGGCTGGCAGAGAGGGAGGGAGGGAGGAGGGAGGGTAGCAGGCAGGCTGGCAGAGAGGGAGGGAGGGAGGAGGGAGGGTAGCAGGCAGGCTGGCAGAGAGGGAGGCTGGCAGGCAGTCTGGCAGAGAGGGAGGGAGGGTAGCAGGCAGGCTGGCAGAGAGGGAGGGAGGGAGGCTGGCAGGCTGGCAGAGAGGGAGGGAGGGTAGCAGGCAGGCTGGCAGAGAGGGAGGGAGGGAGGGAGGCTGGCAGGCAGGCTGGCAGAGAGGCAGGCTGGCAGAGAGGCAGGCTGGCAGGCAGTCTGGCAAAGGAGGAGGGAGGCTGGCAGGCAGTCTGGCATAGGAGGAGGGAGGCTGGCAGGCAGGCTGGCAGAGAGGGAGCATGGCAGGCAGTCTGGCAAAGAAGGAGGGAGGCTGGCAGGCAGGCTGGCAGAGAGGGAGGGAGGTTGGCAGGCAGGCTGGCAGAGAGGGAGGTTGGCAGGCAGGCTGGGACGGAGGGAGGGAGGCAGGCTGGCAGTCAGGCAGGAAGGCATGAAGACAGGAAGGAAGGGATGGATGTGTGACGAGGTGAGCCACGTGACCTTGAGAGAGAGTATGGAGGGGTGGAGGGTGGGGAAGGTGTGTCGGTGGGGTGGTGGGGGAGGAACCGGCTGACTCGGGTATGCCTAACCACCCTCAACCCGTTAACCACATTTGTTTCTTAACACTTTCGCGCTTTAGATTAGAGATAACTCGTCACCGTTTTTTCTTACGATTCCGCATAACAGCCTACTTTTCTCGTCCATCGAAAAAATATTTCTATAAATTCCATTTTTTAACCGAAATGGATGGGGATACTCTCAGATTTTTCTCCATGAAATTCCCGTGTATTACAATAAGTTCATTAAAGGTGATGATCATTTTGATCAAATGGTCAAATATTATGAGTTTGCAAGAAAAACCCACAAATGGACCAAGAAGATCACTTTCTATTTTCTGCAAATGGCCATGCACAATGCATACGCATTGTATAACCACTACTCAACAGATACAAAAAAACTAACACTATTAGAGTTTCACGCAGTAGGAATAAAAGCCTTATTGGCGTGGAACAGCGAGGAATGGCCAACAACAACAAGTATACCACATGTTCCCGACATAGATGCCAGCGCAGCTCCTCCTGCTGACGCGGCAGTTTCAACACCCGGCCCATCTGGTGCGAGGCGTCCTCTGTTCACCTCAACA